ATGGTCCAGCTCTCACTTCCATACATCACTACTGGGAAAACCATAGCTTTAACTATATGGACCTTTGTTGGCAAGGTGATGTCTCTGTTTTTTAAGATGCTGTCCAATGTTACACACACCCTAATTTTCAGAGTGGTGCAAAAACCCCAGGGGCACAGCATAAGCCCAGGTGTTGTTTCCTATGGAATGAGGTCACTGGAGACTTACCAGCATGCTGTGATTTATAGTTTATTTACACATACGTATGTACAGGTTGCACCTAGGTGGAGTTTCACAGCACAGGCACCTTAAAATCCCCCAGAGCTCCATTCAGCTCTCTGCTCTGCCGCCTGCAGTCTCGTATCAGTCTGACCCCCAGCTGCAACTCTTCAAGCCGCTTCTTTCTTTGTTCACAGCTTAGAGAGACCATTGTACATTATTAGCACATTAAAGTTATTAAAACTAGCACATTGCACAGCTGGTGAGGAGGAAAGGGAAAGGTTAGCCGTCTTCTGATGATTCCAGATAGAAAACCATCCCCAGAACCAGGGAAGGGACTCGACCATTCAGCCAGAGCTACTGAGATCATCTCTGCCAGCACTTCTGGTTCGACCTCACTGTTGCGATCAGCACCCGGGCAGGAAGGGACCCTTGAGGTCATCCAGCTCAACCCACAATCCTGTTGCAATATTTTGAAAGACTAGGCGGGGGAGGAACAATTAACGGCAAGACCCATCTGCTAAGTAAAGAAGCATGGCTCTTTGACATTATAAGCACAGTGAACTGGAAATTTTTGAATGAAAAGGTCGCTCACATTATTGAGTTTCACTGCTTCACATTTCACTTCCGAGACACCATAGTGCTCAAACTGCTTTGCTGTTTCTTGTGCGATTGTCCAGGAAGCTGTTGTGTTGTGTCCGCCCTTTGATACCATCCTCTGCAAAACCTGCAGAGCCTGCGGCCGCAAATTGCCATTCACATCCATAAAGAAGGCTCTTGACACATAATTATGGCAGAAAATTTTCTGTTTCTTAAACTATAACTTATGGGATGTGCAAACAAACCCCAAATTAATCAGAATTAGCAAAATAAAAGAATAGTCAGGAATTTCTTTAAAGACGGTGTGATCTATTTCGGGGTGAGCTCCCGTTGCTCGGTCTCTGCTCCTGCCAACCTAGCAGTTCGAAAGCACATCAGAGTGCAAGTAGATAAATAGGTACCACTCCGGCAGGAAGGTAAATGGCGTTTCCGTGCGCTGCTCTGGTTCATCAGAAGTGGCTCAGTCCTGCTGGCCACATGACCCGGAAGCTGTACGCTGGCTCCCTCGGCCAGTAAAGCGAGATGAGCGCCGCAACCCCAGAGTCGGTCACGACTGGACCTAATGGTCAGGGGTCCCTTTACCTTTATGGGATGTGCAAACAAACCCCAAATTAATCAGAATTAGCAAAATAAAAAAATAGTCAGGAATTTCTTTAATGACGGCGGGATCTACTTCCTCCTGTCTCCTAGGAATGTTTACAGGCACCCCCTGCAAAGTATTGCGAGGAAATTCCTTGGGATATGACCAAGGAGTGTCTTTAACCCTGGAAACTCCCCGACGATTGAGATCAGGCCCTTTCACCCTACTCATTTCAGTGCCTGATAAAAGAAGTTTGTTTAGACAAGCCTACCCAGATGTTTATAAAGTTGATGTGTGTTTTACGGTAATCTGTTTTCAGCCTGTTGCTATTTTAACTTAGCAAAAGACTTAAATTTTTGCTGCTAATTCCTCTTATCGAATCTTGTATGGTTCACCTTTTTTATTGTAAACAGTGTTGACATCAGTGCTTTTTTTCTAAAAAAAAATAAATGTTTAGGGGTACTCTCATTTTGACTCAAGAAAATCACCATGTTATAGTTCAAATGGGGGGGGTACAGTAAATGGACAAAAGTACAAAGATTCACAAAATGTTTAGGGGTATGTGTACCCCCAGGAAAAAAGCACTGGTGGACGTGTTTGGTCCCCCCCCCCCAAAAAAAATCAAGTGGCGCATAAACTTTATGAAATTAATTAATTAACCCTTTCTTGGCTTCTCCTTTTCTTGCCCGGACCAAAAGCCCATTAAATCAAATTCCATAAGAACTCCCAAACATGTGAAGTGGGAGAAAAAGAGGAGCCCCTCAAGGCCAGTTGGGGGCTGCCCCCCAAAAAATTCTACTTAGCCCCCCAACAGGCAATTAGCAAGCCCCCCCAAATTAAAATAGCAGGCAGGGATGGAGTGGGGCATAACAAAATAGAGTGGCAGGTTTCAGGCAGTGCCAATTTATAAGGTCTGGACATCTCCTCTTCCTGATTGGCCAGCTGACCATGCTGTGCCCACCCCCAGCTCCGCCCCTGGGTAAGACCACAAGTCTCTACCTCTCTTTCAAATCAGAACCAGTGAAGGTCCTGTGTGAGTGTCTGAAGGCAGTTGGAGGATGGATGGCGGCTAACAGATTGAAATTGAATCCTGACAAGACAGAAGTACTGTTTTGGGGGGACAGGAGGAGGGCAGGTGTGGAGGACTCCCTGGTCCTGAATGGGGTCACTGTGCCCCTGAAGGACCAGGTGTGCAGCCTGGGAGTCATTTTGGACTCATAGCTGTCCATGGAGGCGCAGGTCAATTGTGTGTCCAGGGCAGCTGTCTACCAGCTCCATCTGGTACACAGGGTGAGACCCTACCTGCCCGCAGACTTTCTCGCCAGAGTGGTGCATGCTCTAGTTATCTCTCGCTTGGACTACTGCAATGCGCTCTACGTGGGGCTACCTTTGAAGGTGACCCAGAAACTAGAACTAATCCAGAATGCGGCAGCTAGACTGGTGACTGGGGGTGGTCGCCGAGACCACATAACACCAGTCTTGAAAGACCTACATTGGCTCCCAATACGTTTCCGAGCGCAAATCAAAGTGTTGGTGCTGACCTTTAAAGCTCTCAACGGCCTCAGCCCAGTATACCTGAAGGAGCATCTCCACCCCCATCGTTCTACCCAGACACTGAGGTCCAGCTCCGAGGGCCTTCTGGCGGTTCCCTCACTGAGAGAAGCCAAGTTACAGGGAATCAGGCAGAGGGCCTTCTCAGTAGTGGCACCCGCCCTGTGGAATGCCCTCCCACCAGATGTCAAAGAGAAGAACAACTACCATACTTTTAGAAGACATCTGAAGGCAGCCCTGTTTAGGGGAGCTTTTAATGTTTAATAGGTTATTGTATTTTAATATTCTGTTGGAAGCCGCCCAGAGTGGCTGCGGAAACCCAGCCAGATGGCTGGGGTATAAATTTTATTATTATTATTATTATTATTATTATTATTATTATTATTATTATTTTCTGGGGGGAGGCAGAGTGTGGCCAAATCAAGTCCCCCCCACACACACACACCAAGGATGAGAGTGGCCATCTCAAGGTTATCTAGTTTTCCTTCAAAATGTTTAGGGTGCTGGATCACAACATTATTTCATGCCAGATTTTTTATTTTTTATTTTGAAGGAAGGCATAAGGGAAAACAGAACAATAGAAGCAATTTCAACACAGCCTTAATTAGGACACTAAGTACTCATTTAGAACAGGATACCTGGACGTTTTCCAAGAGCTGCAGCTGGGCTCCTTGAGTGTGTTAACATTTAAGCGGCTTTAACATCTTTGCTTTCCCCCAAGGAACTCTGGGAAGTGTAGTTCCCTGAGAACGCATTGCAATTCCATGTGTGCAAGATGCCATCTTTATCCTCTTCCACAGCTGATCCAGGGTTATTACCTCCCACCAGCTCTGCATTTGCAATTGCCATCATGGACTAGAGCAGGGGTAGGCAAACTAAGGCCCAGGATCCGGCCCAATTGCCTTCTAAATCCGGCCCACAGACGGCCCGGGAAGCAGCGTGTTTTTACATGAATAGAATGTGTCCTTTTATTTAAAATGCATCTCTGGGTTATTTGTGGGGCCTGCCTGGCGTTTTTACATGAGTAGAATGTGTCCTTTATTATTATTAATAATAATAATAATAATAATAATAATAAACATAAAAATATAATAATAAACAACTTTTATTTTTATCCCGCCCTCCCTGGCCGAAGTCGGGCTCAGGGCAGCTAACATCAAATATGTAACACTGGTATAAAATCAAACAATAATTAAATTACCTCCTAAAAATGTATCTCTAGCTTATTTGTGGGGCCTGCCTGGTGTTTTTACATGAGTAGAATGTGTGCTTTTATTTAAAATTCATCTCTGGGTGGGGCATAGGAATTCATTCATATATGAAAAAGTTTGCTGACCCCTGGGCTAGAGTCCTTTCTGGGGTCTCCATGTGTCCTGCTCCACAGAATACAGTCCTCTAATGGAGGGTCAGTTGGAGAATACAGAGTCCTCTCTCTGAAGGACTGACCAGTCTGAGTCTGGTTCAAATATAAAGAATATTTCCTTGAGGGAAATTGAAAATTTGATGCAAAGCCTACTTTTGAGTGTTGTGGTCACCTGACCATAGATTCCATGGGACTTATTCCCAAATAAATTGTTGTTGCTGGCACCCGTCTGTCTCAGGAGACAATGGAGAAATGCACTTTTGGAGGGTGAAGTCAAACTGTTGGAAGGTTGTGACATTAGAGGCCGACATGAGAGAGACGTGTTTGGTTGCAGCGGGGGCAGATGAAGGCGTCTAGTTGTGCTGATGCACCATGGCGTTTCTAAATAACTTTAATGGACTAATATTAGATCTCCTTTGGGAAGCAGGGTGGCATATAATATGAATGAATAATGTTAAGTTGTGGGTGAACATATCAGACGACACAGCGATTCTTCAAACAGCTCTTGTTTATTCAGAGGTCAGAACAGAACTGAACTGAAGGGTTCAGTCAGCCTGCTTATATAGAGCTCCAGTACAACGTAACTGTAACAACTTTCTGTAACTATCCAATCACTGAACGTCACTTTCAACCCCTTATTTGCATAACTATCTACAGTATCCCCCTGCTGGCCCAGGGTGAGAACTTCAGTACATAACAAATAAAACCACTTAGAAGTAGCTCAGTTGGTAAACCATGAGACTTTTAATCCCAGGGTTGTGGGTTCGAGTGCCACGTTGGGTGAAAGGTTCCTTCATTGCAGGGGGCTGGAGCTTCCTGCACTCAGTCGGAAGCTGCGGAAGCCACGTCGGACATTCGGCTTCTGAGAAACGTTTGCAAACCGGTCCACTCACTTCTGCGTTTGTGGCTAGTTTCTTTGGGAGCCAAGCTGTTCGACAACCGAGGTACCGCTGTATAAATGATACGAAATAAATTGAAACAAACCAATAAATAAATAAAACAGCAGCCTTTATCCCCCCCCCCCCATTTATTTATTATTTATTAAAGATTTTGTTGATTTACAAAAGTGTGTGCAATGTCTCTCTCTCGTATTTCTCCCCCCCCCCCCCCATGTAACATTTTTACAAATCAGTTTCATTTGTTGAGACATTAGGAAGAAAAGGGGGAAAGAGGTGATGGGGGGGGAGAAGATGGGGGGGTTGGGGTCGGGTGGAGATGTTTCTATTTTACTTACTACATGTAGGGTTTGGTGTCAGCGTTGCTTGTGCAGGTTCTTTGCTGTTCGCTTGTGTTCCTTTGGTGGTGAGAGAGGTTGGGGTTGGCCTAGGGTGTGATTGTTCATTTGTGGTTGGCTGTGGTAATCTTTGTTTTCATTTGTGAATGGGGTGTGTGTGTGTTTTGGATTAGGTTAGCCATATTGATTTGTATGCTGTTGGTGGATTTTTGTCATTGTCTTTTGGGCTGTGTATGTGATAAAGGGGAGCCATACCGGGGTGAAGGCATCTTCTTCTATTTGTCCCCATGTCAGTTTCAGTTTATTGGTTAATTTTTCTAGTAAGGCTGTTTCCCATACTATTTGGTACCATTGGTCCATGCTTACTCCTGACAGGTCTCTCCAGTGTCTGGTTATGATGTTTCTGGCTGCTGAAAGTAGGTGGCTTATGAGTTCTTTGTGGTGTAAATGGGCATTATTGTCTTGGAAGATGTTTAGTAACGCCAATTCTGGTGTGGTTTCTAATACTTGCTTGGTTATTTTACTTATTTCTCATATGGTTGTTGTCCAGAGTAGTTGGATTTTGGGGCACTCCCACCACATGAAATAGCAGCTTTTCTGAGCCTGAGGCTTTCCAGACCTTGGGGACTACAAATCCCATCAGCCTCAGTTAGCAAAGGTTGTGCTAGCTGAGCCTGATGGGATTTGTATTCCAGAGTACCAGCCTGGCTGTGAACATCATTTAGCCTGCAAGCTGGAGCTCTGATTCAAGACAGGAGGCCTTTTTTTCACAAAAGGCTCCTGGGTGCAAACTGATGTGGCATCTCTTAGTTGATGTCAGGACAACATCTTCCTGCAATTAAGCAAGGAACCGCAATTACTCAGTCGCTGACGACCCCACCACCTGCTAACCGTTTCTTCTGTGCCTGATTTACAAGGCGGCAACAGCGCCAGCATCTGTTCCTGCTGGGGAGATACGAGTCTCCAGGTGCTACAAAATGAATCGCAGAAATTGAAACCAAACAAGGAGTGCTGAGCTGGCCTTCGCCAAACCCGCGTATACCGAGTGGCAGGGAGAACTTGTCCATCACGTTGAGTGTGGTGGGTTTCATGAGGTTTGGCTTTCGGCACAGACAGTGCTCTATCAATAGGGCCTGCCTCAAAGGAATTCCGCTGAGGAGCAGCAAATTTGCTGTGATTTCTCTTTCGGAAATCGAAAAGGTGGGACAAAACTCACCCAAAACATTTCAGTATAAAATTGTCTTCAGCTGGGAATGAGGAAAAGGCTCTTCCCTGCTCCAAATATTTATAGTTTCTTTTCCCCCCCTTTTCAACTGATTTTTAATTTCAAGTAACAAAACAAACCCATGCAAGGAATACAAAGCTTAGCAGTTGTCCAGAGAAGAAATAAAAATAGCAGTTGATGGTTGGAATAATAATAATAATAATAATAATAATAATAATTTTTATTATTTATATGCAGCCCATCTGCCTGGGTTGCCCCAGCCATTCTGTGCAACTTCCAGCAAAATATGGAAACACAATAAAACATCAAACGTTAAAAACTTCCCTGTGCAGGGCTGCCTTCAAATGTCTTGTAAAAGTTGTGTAGCTCTTAATCTCCTTGACCTCTGATGGGAGGGCATTGCACAGGGCAGGCGCCACCACCGAGAAGGCCCTCTGCCTGGTTCCAATAAATTTATAGTTTTTATAGATTATTTAAAACATAGCAATGAATTCTTCAGTCCTTTATTTGTCCAGCTGTCCTTTGTCGATGTTTTTTGTGTTGAATATATGCTATATAATAATAATAATAATAATAATAATAATAATAATAATAACTTATTATTTGTACCCCGCCCATCTGGCTGGGTTTCCCCAGCCACTCTGGGCGGCTTCCAAAAGGACCAAAAATACACTAAGATGTCATACATTAAAAACTTCCCTGAATAGGGCTGCCTTAAGATGTCTTCTGAATGTCAGGTAGTTGTTTATCTCTTTGACATCTGATGGGAGGGTGTTCCACAGGGCGGGCACCACTACCGAGAAGGCCCTCTGCCTGGTTCCCTGTAGCTTTGCTTCTCACAATGAGGGAACCGCCAGAAGGCCCTCAGAGCTGGACCTCAGTGTCCAGGCTGAACGATGGGGGTGGAGACGCTCCTTCAGGTATACTGGACCGAGGCCGTTTAGGGCTTTAAAGGTCAACACCAACACTTTGAATTGTGCTTGGAAACGTCCTGGGAGCCAATGTAGGTCTTTCAGGACCGGTGTTATGTGGTCTCAGCAGCCGCTCCCAGTCACCAGTCTAGCTGCCGCATTCTGGATTAGTTGTAGTTTCCGGGTCACCTTCAAAGGTAGCCCCACATAGAGCACATTGCAGTAGAAGAAGAAGAAGAAGAGTTTGGATTTGATATCCCGCCTTTCACTCCCCTTCAGGAGTCTCAAAGCGGCTAACATTCTCCTTTCCCTTCCTCCTCCACAACAAACACTCTGTGAGGTGAGTGGGGCTGAGAGACTTCAAAGAAGTGTGACTGGCCCAAGGTCACCCAGCAGCTGCATGTGGAGGAGCGGAGACGCGAACCCGGGTCCCCAGATTACGAGGCTACCGCTCTTAACCACTACACCACACTGTAGTCCAAGCTCTCCTCCCCTGAGGGTGCCCAATAGGGGCTAACATGAAAAGCTGTTAAAGGCACAAATGTGTTTCCCCCCTGAAAGGTTGCAGAGAAAACTGGCGAAGGCTGCTCTGCTTCTGGCTGAGCCAATTGGACTTGGCCCATCGTGCTGCCAATAGCCTTTTCCTAGAGGTTACATCAGAATTAGACGCGCAGAGCATCCTGATGGAAGCTTGCCTCCACGACAAGCTGTTCTTCGTCAGAGAGAGGGCTTGAATTTCCAAGTGGATGATAGTGCTTTTAATGATTTTATTATTTTTATTTTGAAAATCTATGTGTGCAGCTTGAAAGCTTCAGTGTGGGATGTGAAACACAAGAGCAGTCAAATACAACATTCTAGAGTGAATGAACATGTTTACACAAGGGGAGGAATGTTTGTCCAGCCAGCAGGTAAACTTCCTGTTTCCTTCTGGGCTGGGACAGACTTCCTCTGCATGTGACTAGAGGTGGGCGTGGCCTCACCTATGCAGGTAATGACAAAAGCACAAGGCAGGGCAGCCATCTCTCTCCCTTTGACTACATGCATCAAAGAAGCAACATCTGCTTAGCCAAAGATGCTCTCTTGGCCTCCAGGCAAGAGAGGACAAAGGGACTGTCTGCTTATGAGATAGTTTCCAGGTGTATGTTACTTTTCTAAGCTAAGTCTGCCTTCTGGGATCCGATTGTGAACAGAATGTGAGTAAACTCTTTTTATACTTTCAAAGAAGACTGTGTTGTGTCTTATCTTGTATGAGGGAATAAGGAGGAAATACCAGAACAGTTATTATAGAGGCTTTAGCTAGCCTGAGCTAATGCATCCGCTGTGAGTCTAAAAGGGAACTGTTACTCTGCTAAATTGTGAACTTGTTAACACAAGTTGGAAAGGCTATAACCAAATAATTATTATTATTATTATTATTATTATTATTATTATTATCATGGTGCTGACCACAACACCCATCAGTTCTGGACTCAATGCTCAGCAATGCTGACATCAGTTGGCAATGGAGCCTACTTTGTGGAAAGATGTTTCCTGGCTTGAATCAGAGCTCCAGTTTTGCAGGCCAAATAAGGCTTACTCTAACACAGCCAGCCCAGTGCCCTCTACAAGTTTTGGACTACAACATCAATCTGCCCCAGCCAGCCATGCCTTGCTGACTGAGGCTGATGGAAGTTCCATGAAAAAGCACATCTTTTTTTTTAAAAAAAATAATATTTATTAAAATTTCAAAAGAAAAAAATCACATTAATAAGAAAATTAACAATAAAAAGGAAAAATACAAAATACAAAAAAGAAAAAACAGTTAAAAACAATTCCATCTTTTCATCACTTCTTTTACATTTACTTGTTTCCCGGACCTTCTCATACCTCCCTCTTTTGTATTCCAATTCAATATGTTAATCCAGCAATTCCTTTCCCTCCTTTTTAATCCTGATCTTTAATCTTGATAAATTATAACATTAAATTTTTACATATTAAAAACCAATTTTTCCATATTTTTTTATACCATTACCGCTAGAAACCGCTTAACTTCAATCCGTCATCATTCTAACATTCATTAATTTTACAATATTTCTGTAAGTAGTCTTTAAATTTCTTCCAATCTTCTTCCACCGACTCTTCTCCCTGGTCTCGGATTCTGCAAAAAGCACATCTTTTGTCAGTCCTCTGATCGACTTCATTTGATGTCCATGAGAGAGAGAATGGAGGGTGGAGGAGGGGAGAGAGAGAAAAAAAGTTTGATGAAGGCAGTGTATACAGTGGTACCTTGGGTTACAGATGCTTCAGGTTACAGACGCTTCAGGTTGCAGACTCCGCTAACCCAGAAATAGTACCTCGGGCTAAGAACTTTGCTTCAGGATGAGAACAAAAATTGTGCAGCGGCGGCAGCAGGAGGCCCCATTAGCTAAAGTGGTGCTTCAGGTTAAGAACAGTTTCAGGTCAAGAACGGAGCTCCAGAACGAATTACGTTCTTAACCCGAAGTACCACTGCACATAGTTCCCTCCAGATTTTGCCGAACTACAAGCCCCATCATCCCCAACCACTGGGGCTGATGGTGTTTGTAGTCTTCAGCATCTGGAGGGCGCTGGGTTGACTATCCGGGCTGATGGTTCAGCAGCAGCATTTTTCACAAGCTCTTTTGAGACTATAGAACGATGAAATTCCGTCCCCATACCATGGAGGGATAATATCTTTTCCATCTGGTTTTGCAATGGCCAAATTAGATTCATTAGAAAAAGCCTCTGAAATTGCCAGATGAAAGAGCCCCTCTGTTTATTTGGAACATATTTGACTGGGAAAATCCCAAGGAGGTAGGACGGTTGTGTTTCCACTGGTGGTATCCTGACACCCCCCTCAGTCTCAGGTTGTTAAAAGCCGGGGCAAGAAAGCTTGAACTTAATCCAAGGATTCAGGCTGCAAACAGGGGAGAAGCAGGAAGGCCTGAAACGTCGAAAACAATGCTCTACCTGTTTGGCTTCCTTGGCCCTTTTCCCTCTGTTTTCTTTTACGCAGTGCCGGCGTGAGAGGGGCTGACACAGAAATTACTCTGCTGCAAAGCCCTCTTTCATGTGCCAAATCAGGCCATTTCCTAGGCAATTTCCCCAGAAAGCAGAGCCTGATTGAAAGTGACGTGGAAGACGGTGCGGGGATTTAGATCACAAACGTCCACTGGTGGCAAGAGGCTGCCTGCTAGATTGCCTCCCCAGGTTTCATTAACTGCAGACGGTAAGAAATTACGACTTCTGGAATTGCTTCACAATTGGCTCTTCTAATGCGTTGCAAATGGGGCTGCCCCTTGCACGGGAGTTATTAAGACCCTCCCTGACCCCATCTGTGTCCTACAAGCCCAGAGTGGGAAAGAAAACGTTCTGCAGAAGGAAACCCGGGAGCCTCTGCAGGAAGCCCCGTGCAGTATCCATCCTTGCTTGTGTCTTGCTCACACCATTGTGAGGTTTTGCCAATGGCCCATCCAGTCCGTTATCCTGGTCTCACAGTGGCAGGCCAGAGGCTCATTCAGTGCCGGATTTACGTATAAGAAGAGAAGAAGAGTTTGGAT